TGTGCCTCCATGGATTATCTGAATTAGATTCAACCAGAAATGGTGCCCAATAGAACTCCACTGCGTTGTTGTATTCCTATGCCAGCATTTTTAAGACATATGTCAAATCCACCTGTGAATGTTAATTGACAACAGAAACTAGCTCAAGGAATTAATAATGGAGTGTGGGTTCTATTTAAAAAGTGGTCATTTTCCATTGTCTCATTTCTTTTATGTGCACATCTCTTCATGTAAGTGCATTAAAAGATTTTTCCACCGGACGTGTATCATAATCATTTCAACATGGAAACAATCAGACAGTTGTCGGTAAGACAAAGTCCTCTTAAAGATTCTTCAACTGGTTTCTATTATTTCACTGGTTAAGCATGAATGATTTTGATTTTTGAGCAAAAACTATAAACTTTCCAAAAGATCTAAAACCCAGCATCGTAAACTGAATACAGAGTAACGAAGGAAGAAATATTTCTCGTTGCTAAAGATTAATTATATATAAAAAAATTATTTATAATTTAAATTTGATTGATATTTATTCAATAATAAAAATTTAACTAATATTTTTATTAAAAATGTTTATATAAAAATATATATCAAAATTTATTAAATTTTTTTCAAATTTTATGCACTTAATTTATAAAATAAAATCTTTTAATTTATTCAATTTTAATTTAATTTTAATTTTAATTTTTTTTAATAAAAAATTTTACAAACTTCACTTAAATAACTATATATATTTTTATATAAATATTTTTAATAAAAATATTGACAAAATTTTTATCATTGAATAAATATCAATCAAATTTAAATTATAAATAATATTTTTAATAATATTTTTTATTTTTTATTGATCTTTATATTAAATTCTGTCAATATATCAATTTAAATTTTTAATTAAAATTTTTATTAAATCATTTTTAAAAAATTTACAAACGTCACCAAAAATATTTTAGTTTTGTCCACGATAAAGTAGCTCAGTATCTAACTGATTATACCCTTTTTTTAATTCCTCAAGAAACAACTCAAAAATGTTACTAACAGAACTTACTTGGGCCCTGGGTTGCCATCTCCAGTTCTGATAAAGAGAATCCTGTCTTCCATTCCTAATGCAACTCACTTGTTCTGAGACTGAGAGAAACTTACATTCATCTTCTTTATACAAAGGATGGGTTATATTATCGAAAACCCAGTTCCCAGTGAAGAGATCACAGTCCATTGGTGGCAGCTTAACCTCCTCCTCATCTTCCTCCAGGATTCCTAGAGGTTTAAACCATGACAAGAAAATCGACCTTGCCACCTGTATAAAATCTCCTTTGTAGATAAACAATTTGACTAGAAGTAACAATATCAGGGAAACCAGAACAAGTACTTGATAGCTTTTACTTTTATGGCCGATGCTGCAGCTGTGCTTCATAGCTTGAAGAAATGAAAGGCTTGAAAGAGAAACGGACTAACCTGGAGTAGTTACCTTCAAGTAGCAGCTGGTTCAGCTATCTGCAAAAGTAAAGATTCGTCTTTCCCACTTTTTCTTTTTCATCGATTTCTGACTACATTCTTCATATCTGACAGAACCGAATTCATTCAGGATATGTTGATATCACTGCGGTGTTGGAGAAAGAATTCAGAATCTCTATGATTCTATTACACCACTTCAGATCAAGAATTCAAATTACGGACACGTTTTCGATGCTCATTTATCATGATTTATCGTAATTTTGTATATAACGAAGATTATTGCGATCATTACGGTTATTTTTTTTTTAATTTCTCATAATTTATTATAAAATATAATAATTATAATTATAATAATAAAAATTAATACTTATAATTTTTAAAGTAATTTATGATATTTTAATTTTATTTATAAAGTAAAATAATTTTTTCATATTTTATAGTTATAATTTAAAACGAAAATGCATGTTATAAATGTTTTTCTTTATTATATGCATGAAGTTCAAAGACATAAATATTATAAATATATATGATGAAAAATATATATCTTATATGAAGTTAATAAAGATTATGATTAATTTAATTAAAAAATTAGTGATGAATATTTTAGATATTTTTGTAATATATGTTTATTGGGGAAGATGATAAACTATCTGATTGACTATAGATAAATATATTTTACTATTAAATCAAATTATCAAGTACAACATTTTAAATAACTAAATTAAACCAAAATAATATAATAGTAGCAAACTAATCTTTATTAATTAATAAAAATATACAATTAACAATAACATTAATAATATTAAAATTATTTAAAAAACTACTAATTATTTTAAAATGATGGCAAATAAAAATAAATTCACTAATTAATAGCTCACATTCCCCTTAAATTTTTATCAAAATCAATAAAAAATTTTTCTAAAATATTCAATTTCTTATCAAATCATTTGTTTTTTCCTTTCCATATTTTCACCTAAATAAGAAAAAACAAAATATAATGTACTTTTAAATATCACACGTACCTAAGAAAATAAAATACTATGATTGGTTGATTTGGTTCAGCTGAACCTAAACCTACCAAACCTTTCTCACATCCGTACATTTTTCAAATTTAACGATTAAATCTTTTGTATTACACTCTATTGCTCACTCTCTTTTTTAAAAAATTGACAAGCATATCCCATGCTTCCTCTATCTTCTAACCTCTTCCAAGTTTCATCTACGCTATTTTTGTCTTCTTCCTCAACCCAAGCCACTGGCAATGCTACTATTGAACCTAAGCCTCTTATCTTCCCATTTGGCAATTAAAAAATGTTTTGCTTCTTCTTAACTCTTAAGGTTGAGATAGTTATTGATTAACTTCAACAATATATTATTTGATCTTAATTGAGGTTTGTATTTGCTGATTGAATCATAAATTTAAAGGTTTTTCTTGTTTAGAATGTAATTTTTTATATGAAACTCTTTAACTACTGAAAAAGAATAAGTTTTCGAATTACATTTTGAACTGAAAATGAAAATTACGGCTATAACGTCCTACAAAACAACAATAAGGAAGGAGAACTCACTGTTCTCCCATTGAAATTAGTGGAATAAGCAAGCAAAGAACCCAACCAAGTGCTTCTCCTTGACCCGACAAAGAAAAAAAGGAATGAACGGACTTCGCACCGGGCACAACTCCCTTTTCAGGAAACAAGAAGAAATGAAGAGGGAAGTCTGAGCTTTTCTACAAGCTCATGTCAAAATCTCTCTGAAATCTAGAACGAAAAAGAATGACCTACCTATTGGGGTTAGGAAACACCCCATCCGATCGAGATTGATCGACTGTAATGGTTGCTCGCGATCGTAAAATAAAAATGTAATAAACAATAACGACCCATTATAATCATTATTGTTGTTACACTGTTATTTTACGACCACGAGCAGTTGTTATGATTGTGAATTCCGTTCACAGCCCAATTTCGAGTATGTAACGATGACGGAGGTTACCGAAACCACAAAATAGCAACCACAATGCCACTACACAATTGCTATTTGAAACCCTGCTTCATACTTGAGAACTATATGGTGGATACCTTATACTATATAATTTCTTATTAGTGCTTGCCTCATTCAATTCTAGGAGAACCTTTAGAATATAGACTAATGCTATAAAAGTAAGGTCTTCACTCTTCAATGACCACTGTTAAGTCAATCTTTTATGCTTTTTTTTTTTTTTTGGAGATCGTAATCACTAGCCACTTATTTATTCCATGCCCTGAAAATATGGGGTATGGCATTTGGCGTGCATTAAACAATAAGATCCAAGTCTAGTGTTAAAAGAGTTCAAAATTTACCTGTCTTTCTCTATGTGTCTTTTCTTTATTTTTGGGTTTATTTTTACATCAGTCATTCACATATTGCTTCCCACGCCACAAATTAAGCGACCGTCCCTACTATTCTATGCCAACGTAGCAGGAGATCGTGCCTGCTTTCACTACAGTTTCCTTCTTAAAAATCAATGTTGGATGAGGTAAAAGTAAAAATTAAGTTGCACCATTTGAAGTCATTGCGGTAGCTGCAAGCTGAGCAGCTTTGCTTTCTTTTTGCTAATCAGCATGGCTCAAGTTTTCTTCATTTTTGAGAATAAAAAAAGTGTAGTCTCCAGTTTTCTTCCAGAGTTGAAATGCCATTGAAAACGGATATTTCAAGGATTTGAGAAAAAAGATCAGATGGAGATGCGGGGTATCGATCCCCGTACCTCTCGCATGCTAAGCGAGCGCTCTACCATCTGAGCTACATCCCCAATTGACGTGGTTTCATCATAAATAGTATATTAGTATTATATTTCAACAATTATCTTCTTTTTTCCATCGTAATTCATGATCAACACATTTTTCAATATTCAAACAAATGAGTATTATACTATTTCTACTGCCAAATCATCCAGAGCAAGGAACCTTTGTCTTTTCCTAAGAAAAAAATGAAAATTATGGAGCGCCGCTATGGAAATGGATTAATTAATATAGGTAATCTGTCAACAAAATGTGTGATTATAGTATCTTAATTGGTGAATCCAAAATTAAAATAAGGCTAAGAGAGATTAGTGGACGTCTTAACTTGATTATCAAGAATATTGTTGATGGTCAGATTATGAGTCGACAATGCAGTCATTCCTCTGCAAACTTAAAGGAACTCTTCCTGACCGACATGCTATCAAAAGGAGTCCTAGAAAGTAGGGAATAGAGACTGTTTTTCTTTTTCTTTGTTAATGGGCCAAGTTTAACATTATTAAAGCTTTTCGTTTTATCAAAGGCTGGTTAGTTATATATAAGAAACAACCTAGAAAATGTGACATGTTTTAACTAATGACAATGGTTTGTCTTAATTAGCCTATTATTTTCTTGTCCGTATAATTGCGGCTGATGAGGCAGTTTCTTACCATTTTAAAAGATTAGTGTTTTTTTGTTTTTTTGGGCAATGGGACTAATTAATCTTCATGGATTCATGTTGGAGCGATTTCTATGAATTGAATTGACTCTATTGAGGTACAAGAAACTAGATGAAGAAGCTCTAGTATCCAAAGAAACAAAAACAAAGAAAAAGAAAGGAAGAAAAGCCAAGAATTGATAGTGAATGGAGAGGAAATTGTGCTTGTATAAACCTTTATTTCCTTTTTCAAAGTTTCCAACATATGCATTATACAATTTTGTGCATTGGCTTTGGCCAGGTTTTGCTGAGTGAGTGAGAAATTTGGCATTCTTGGCCCCCGCACCTTAGTCCCCATTAAATCAACAAAGGAAAAAAAAAATTTTTTTGATTGTCCATCCCCCTATGAAGCTACATCCGATCAAATGTTGAAGACTAAATTACAGATGCTTACAGGAAAACCGATGTCCAAGGTAACGAAGCCACACCAAAAAATAAAATAAAAGAAAGTAATAAGGATAACGTGAATTATGTCTACGTGTCACGAGCGAGCAATGATACGTGCGTAGAGGAATTCGTTCCACGTGTCCGGTAACCCGGGAAGGCACCAATGGATACAATCTGCATAAGTGGCTGGATCAGCCTGCTGTTCCGGGGTCAGCGTTTTGCCTTGGCGGATGGTATAGACTGAGGTATGTGCATCTTTTCTGTATTCCGAAAGACTTGTAATGTTAATAAAATGGACGACGACTTTCATGTTTTGAGTAATGTTGCTGGCTATGACAAAGAGCCTGCGGTCAGTGCCAACATTTAGGTACATTGACTGGTTGAGAATTGGGGTAGTCTCCAGGGCACATTTGATCCCATCTGGGTTGTTCCAATCCAAGCTCCTGCAGACATTGATAGGTTGCATATAATTATGTCACCTTTGAATAAAAAATGCATCAAAAGAAATATGCTTTTGATAATTGGATTTTATTTGTGTTTAATTCTCTACTCGAACTATTTTAATAACACATGCATTCAAAATTTTATTTCCAAAGTACTTCTAAAAAAGGAATTCTTCTTACCAACTGCACTAACTTTTCGTATGGGCCTCAAAAGAAATATTTTGGATTGAAACATAAGCTCTTAATAATTGAGAAACACATAAAAATGGTTGTTTCATTTACCAACCAAAAGATTAGGAGAATATTTTGGTCCAAGTATTGTTGGATGAGAGGTCATAGGCCAACTGTCTACCACTGGCAGACTGTAGTAAGTTGGAAACTTTATCCCAACAACTATGTGAGTTAATGACAATCAGAAGAAGATAAAACACCTAATTAATTTCCTACAAGAGGACATTTACATTGGATTAAAAGTGCATGCACAAGGGGAATCTGTCATATGCAAATGTGATACTGCATAAAATATACAATGCATAGCAATATTTTTGGGTTTGGTTTTAAGTAGTTCTCTTCATCAAAGAGACCGTGATTGGTTAAAAATTTTAAAAGGTTAGGTTATCATTTTGGTGAAGTTAGTTATATTTGCCAATGCTGTTAAAGTACTGAATTTTTAGTTTTGGTGATTAAAGTTTAATTTTTGACAATTTGATTATAAAAAAAATTAATTATATCTACTCAAAAATTATTAAAAATATTGTTGGCTTACATGTTTTCGTTATAATTAGAAAACAAAAAATGCAGTAACAAAAAATAAAAACCAAAACATATCAGCTGGTTATGAGTTTGATTCATTCATAGGTGGAAAAAAATGGCACATCAGTTTTGCAAAATAACTTTTGACCAAACAGGGAATAGAAGGAAAGCAAGTACTAGAATATGACAGAAATTAAAAGGATGGCAAGTGATTTATTACTTGATATGAAGAGGAGAGATGCTGCTGAAGAAGACAGTGGTTCGATTTGGATTCACGTTTTTATCAACCCATTTAGACCATGTATTCAATACTCTCCTATATGCTACTGGCCGATCGATCTCATCATATTCTGTGTCCCCTCTATCGAACGATCCTCGTCTGTTACATCAATCCGAGAACACCCACATCAGATCACTTCAATTAAAGTACAGAACATAATTAAATCAAACATTGGTTTAATGTTCTAATTACTTACAAAACTTTCATAGTGAAAGTGTTCATCCACCAGATATATGTGTTGAAGACCAAATAGTCCACCTCCTTCCAGTTCTTACCGTGTTTCTCGATTGATTCAGGCATGATTATACGATTCAAGATGCTGTGCCTGTTCGGGTCGTCTGAATTTGATTGCACCAGAAAAGGGGCCCAATAAAACTCCACTGTGGCATTGTAGTTCTGCAAAGTCGAATGTTCACAATCACAATTACTCCTTGGGACATTTTTTTTTTTTTCCATAATACGATCAGGAGCCTTGCCTACATCTAATCTCTTGGTCAAACAATCTTAAAAACACATTCTCTCGGCCTAATGATTTTATTATTGAAGTACCTTGATATTAAGATATAGTTCTTAAGCAAACGTCCATGAACTTATTTTTCTTTCCGTTTTTGCTTTTCCTGGAAATGAGGGGAAATTTTTTTTAAAAAAGGTAAAATTGAAGCCTATCTTTTTGCTGCCACTGCTTCTGAGTAAACAAAATACTAAGAAAATGCTTAGTTTTTTGTCCAAATGCTTAAATATTCGGCAAAACTTGTATTTGACACATTCGCTCCCGAACTTTTATACATAAATAAAGCACCCGTGTGATATTATTATGATTATTAATCATCACGAAACACAAATGCATGAACTTCAATTATACTAAACAAATTTTGTTAGAAAGATGAATGAATACGAGAAGAAAGTGACATCCAGCAAATCTTTGCCAAGTGGGAATTTTTACCTCAATTCTGAACACAGATAGGGACCCTGACTTGTTCAAGCTCTTCCTTCCAGGAGGGACAACAGATTGAACCAGACAAACCATGGATTCCCATTGATTTCTGTTCAATGAATCTCCAACAAACATAAGCCTTTTATTCCTCAGCTTCTCAAGCAATAATCTTGGTTTGTACCTTGTAACAGAAAAACATGTCAGAATCATCAACATCTTCAAATTTTAACAAAGAAATAAGAAAAAAGTATATATAATTACATTTCAAGAACTCAAAAAAAAAAAAAATGGTCTTACTTGGGTAAATTACAATCTCTAGGCTGCCATCTCCAATTCTGATACATAGAATCCCTTCTTCCATTCCTCATGCAAGTAACTTGTGCTGTAAGAAACTCACACTCATCTTCTTTGTATAAAGGATATGTTTCATTGTCAAAAACCCACTGTCCTGTGAAGAGATCACAGTCCTTCGGAGGCAATTCAACATCCTCATCATCTTCTTCAACAACTGGTAGCTCAATCTTTTGTTCTTCTTCTTTCTTTTCTATCTTCTGCTCATCATTTTCTTTGTCTTCTGCAAGCCTTTGCTCATCATCTTTCGCAACTATGGATTTCATGTCATGATCAGGTTTCTTTGTTGTTTCCTCAGGTGAAGTTTTTGAGTTCAATGAAGCCACTTTTTCTTTCTCATTCTTGATAGATTCTTGAACTGAGTTGCCTTGTTTGGATTGATCATCTTGGATTTCACTAGCTTTAGGCCTTGAAAATGGGAACTCCGCTATGGACTTCACGTCCTCATTGTACATGAAAACCCCGAACAAAAATACAGAGAAAACTACAACAAATATGGAAAGATTATTGTTTTTGCGGTGCTTCATGATTCCTGCTTCACTGAAGAGAGTCTTACGACGACCTGGCGGCTGCATGAGAAGAATATTATTGCTTTCAGCAGATAAGAAGAGAAAGGGATGAAAATATAGGGAGGAAAGAAATGAACAAATACATATGTTGAGGTTTATTATTTTAATTTGTTTGGTGAGAAGATTTTTTCTTCAAGAAACTGGTTAGGATTTCAGTTGGAGGGAGAGTTGTCTTTCTCAGGTTTTATTTTTCTCTATAATTCCCATTGCTAACTACTTTCTTTTTCACCCATTGTTTGATCAAAACAATCTCTCCCATGAAGAAAGCTGATGAGTGATTTCAAAGTTTTGGCAAGTTGGTCTTAGTCTACCTCAGATTGGGACTTGAATGAGAGGGTAAGGTGTGGTGTTGTAAACTATCTGGTTGACCCCATGTCAATTAGATTCTGATATGGAAGCTTCATCAGACTTGGAAACTTGTTGGCTATCCTGTGTAATTTCAGGTTCCCCCGGACATTGGAAGTCAAAACCCTTTGGTCAACCACCTGGAGAGGATAATCAATGTATGGTAATCAGATAGTTTGAGAGTGTCATTAGATGGCGTCAGATGAAATGAAGGGCTCTGATGCATTTCAGAAACTGTTTCCTAGGTGGGGTCAGCTTATGTTGCAAATGCTGCAGAAGATTATGCAAAAACAACCATTCAATCATTTTCTTGCAGAAAGCTGGAGACCAGATCAATGACATTAAAGACATCGAATACAAGGTAAATTTTCTCTGCAGGAATTGTAGCTTTTTCTATTTCTATTCCTTAAAACTGGTTATTGCTACTGATATTAATTAAATTATGTCTAATCATGTTTGTTATTTTGTGGGGTTACTCTAAATAAAATTTGAGAATGGTGGGCAGCTCCGACAATCCTTTGGACCACGGCAGAGCAGAGGCAGAGAAATAAAAAATTCAGAAAACAACTGTGTGAGTTCTTTAAAAACGAATCTTCTTGTGTATTAACTAAAACCTTTTTTACTCGAAAAAGGGAGAATTCTAATCATATTCTTTGAATAGGATTGGAGATTATGCATTAATCGTTAAACTAAATGTTCAGGCGAAAACTATTATTGAATACTATGGAACAATGAACCAGGCTCTTTGTTTTTTTTTCCACCTCCTCAATTATGCTCTGCTTTTAACCAAACCTTGCATTCTGATTCCATTTTGTGAATAAAGATATAGCACTAATTTTAATTCCTTTTCTTTTATTATCTCCGAGTCTTTACTAATCTTAATGATAGAAACTTGATTTTGACTTGTTATATTCACCCTTTTCAATCTATCATTAACCAAAAAAAAAAAAAAAAGCACAACAAAATCCAATAAGTAATCTCCTCATTCAAATGGTATTATTTGTTTGCAAGAATGATTGTGGTAAAAAAATTCTCCTAATCATCCTTTCAAAGGGCAATGTTTTTAGTTGGTGCAATGTTAATAAACCTCTCTAATCATAATTATTAACTTCCCCAATCTAAAAAATATTATATCTACTTTTTTTTTCACAATAAAATCTCAATAAATGATAAACATCATGTGATCTTTCTTTGTCCACAACAACTATACGCAATGGCTGTTTTGATGCATTATCAAGCTCTTGATAATTATGATGTTATTGGTTAATTTCCCAAAAAAAAAAAAACCCTAAATTTCCGAATTATTAGTAACTTTATGTTTGAGAAAAGTAAAGACTAAGGAAACATTTTTTTTTTTTTTTGGGCTGTGAGTTCATCAGAAATCATGTTTGGGTTTGTGTGCTTTCTCACTTCACTCCCTTTTTGGTGGTAGTTTGAAGGGTGAACCATCACTTTTATTCCAAGCCAAGGCAGCTATACTGAGTATAATATACATTTTCTTACAAAGAAAGATTTTTACACTCTGTTTTAAGTTTTCTTAGCCACTATTACATTTTTTCTAACCATCTCCATCAACATAATTTACTCGACTCATCAAAATATTTTCATACTCAATATCCCTGGAGACACGCTAGCCTTGTAATATGTCTTGTCATATAATACATGTCCCAATATGGATGTTCCCTATATTAATATGGTTAATGTTAATATGCTTTATAATTTTCAGTTTTTTATTCAACTTTTATCATTTGCAAATTTAATTTAATTTTTTATTAAATTTATTCAAATATATGTTGCTTTAACTCTACGATATCAAATCTTTAACTGAAATCACCCCCCCCCCAAAAAAAAAAAACAAAAAAACCTTTGGTTAATTGTCCATTTTGGAATTTAACTTTCTGAAAGTTTTGAAAATCAATAAAGCATTCATGTCGAATGGTTTGAAAATGAAAAAGGTAAATTATAGGCAAAATCAACTGACGAATTTCTCAATCATAATGGAAACTTGGACGGCTTTCCTTCAATTTAAGATTCTCATTTCTCAATTTGATAAAAAAAAAAAATCCAAATCCAAATTCAAATTCAAATTCGAATCTAATGAGTTTTATCTTGCTTGGGTTTAGAATTAATGGGTGAATCAAAAGGACAAAGTTATGGACAGAATACTTACACTAGAGCTTGCTTTGATAATTGGACTTCTTTTGGGCCTCTTAGATGTTTTGTTGTAGGCCCCTTTACGTCTCAATAACTCTATTTCAAAGCTGCAAGCCTTATGAATAATGAGTGGGACATTTTTTTTTTTTTTTAAGTTTGTGATGAGTGGGATTTTAGCTTTGAGAAATTGCTCTTTAGCCATACTATTTTAGAATGGGTTAAGGATTCCAAGCCAAGATTTTTACAAGCTTTTTTTTTTCTTCTTCTGCTTTTTGTGATTGCAAATAGACTTTAAATTTTGATATTTTCTCTTTAATTTCACATCTTGGGAATTCATTTTTGTTCACCGCAAACATATATATGGACAGGAGATTCGAAACCAGTTATTTAAATAAGAAAATAATGCACTAATCTTTGGATCAAATAAATGATAGATTATAGATTCTTTGAAAAGCTCAATGATAGAATTTTTTTTTTGAATTTTTTCGAATTTTTTGGCCTGATAAAAAACACTACCTTACCATCATCTTGTAGCTAATTTCTCTGCTGGTTTTTCTTTTTTTTTTTTTTTTTTGAAAATTAAATTGTGTTTAATCCTTTTGCAATGAAACTTGTCTTTTGTCACAAAATCTAACAAAATGAACTAATAAAAACATATATATACACACACATAAAAGAGAGAGAAGAAACCAAAACAAAATTATACTACTATTTCATTGGAAAAAAATTCCGTTACTTAGAAAAGATATGAAAAATTAATTTATTGAAACTTTAGATGCGGTATCTATCACGTGGATCTTCAAAGAGGAAGCATTCATGATAAAGTCTCCATGCCTAGTCTTCAAAGGAAAATGAATTAAACAATCTCTTTTCTTTCTGTTCCTTATTGCCACAAGCTTGACTTTCATCATAATCGCCAATTCCTATATCCTCATTCATGACCGGAGAAGGAAAGAAGTGACTGTGCCATCACTTGGAAGTGTGAGGAACAGCGGCATTAATACGCAACGGGAGCTGTTTCCGTTACCTAAATATGACATTCGTCCTTCTCTCACTTTTCTCACAACACATTTGGTTCATAAAATGAAAATAGAGTGGAAATAAAATTTATAATTTGTGGGAATAGAAAATAGGAGGAATAGAATAGAATATGTATGATTAAGTTTGATTCATTGGAATGGAATAGAGGATGAATTATTATTAAGATGTTTCATTTGCTCAAAAAATATGGATGGAGTAAGTTTAAAGGATCATCTTACCCATGTAATTTATTAGCAAAATAACTAATTAATAAAATGAATAAAATAATAACAATTTAATATAATAATTAAATATTATTTATTAATATTACATATTAATATTTTAATTAATATTAAATTAATAAAAATAAATATTTTTCAAAATATTAAAAATTAACTTAATCATATTAAATATTAATTAATAATATTTTATATTAATTTAATAATATTCTTATCTGATTTAATAATATTAAATATTAAATTATTATTATTATTTAATATATATTTAATACTATAAAACTGTTATTTAATAATATCAAATATTATTTATTTATATATATTTAAGAATATTAAATATTCAATTTAATATTATTAAGATATTATTTTAATAATATTAACTCTTAAAATTAACAATATTAAATATTTTAATATTTGTTTATTATTTAATATTATTTTAATAATATTTTCATATTCTAGATCAAAGAAAATATAATATTTTAATATTATTTTCATTCTAAATAAGGAATAAAATTGATATTTTGTGGGAATATAAAATAGAAGGAATAGAATAGAATATGTATGATTATTAAATCCAAATTTTTATATAAAAATAATGTTTATTAATTTTCAGTGATTTTAATTTTAAATAAATTATAAAATCACATGTAAAATAATGTTAGTCTAATATTTTTAATGATTATTTTCTTTTCTCTTCTCACCACTTCTCATCACACTGCTATTATTATTAATTTTTAGCAAACAAAAACTATTCCACTACTGTAAATTTCAACATCATCCCTGGACTATCAATCTTATTACTGTCAATCTCATCCAGGAGCACAACTTATGTATACATTGATTCAAGATCAATTAGAATACTATTGTGGCAACTTGATTTGCGCAATATAAATCAATTAGTCCATATTCTACAAATCAATAATTATTATTATGCACATATAGTAATGTAATGTGTCATCCTTTGTTTTAAAATATATTAAAAAGATGAAGACAAATACAAACAAAGAGAAATTGTGAGATCGTGCCATGTTTGAAACGGGCTACTTCCCTCTATTTCACTCTATTCTTTGAAATTATCATACATATCGATTCATTATGTATAAACGTTACGATTTAGGAATTTTATTATTTAACTATAAAATTCATGGAAATTCAATATGCGAAATGAACAAAAACTAATTTGAAAACTGTCCCAGCATGATATGCGATGAACTTGGTGCAAGATGCTTTCTAAATGATAGAGGTATAGCTATTACCAAAATCAAGAGACTGATTTTTTTTTTTTTTAAATCACTCCCAAAAATGTAAAATTTTAAATCTAATTAATAAATACGTTCTTCAAATTTTTTACAAAACAATATCTTCGATGATTTTATCAAAAAATATTTTGGTTATTATATTCTTGTAATTAACTCTATTAATCCATTGAATTGCATGATGTTTTTCTCAAATCTAATATTTCATTCTTTTCATTTTTTGTCTATTTTCTAAATGTTCCCAAATTATGTTATCTTTTTTTTAAAAAAATATTTAAACTCTTACTTTTATATTTAAAATTTTTTTATTTTAAAAATTTTTTACATTTAAAATCATAAATATTTAGTATTATAAAAAAATTTAAATTTTAATATTAAATATACTAAAATTAAAAATTTTTTAAACTCCTTCAAGGTTAAAAAAATCTTATACAATTTGTGACGGCAGAGTAATAAGTAATATACATTTATGAGTAATAGTTGATTAAAAAAAAAAGGTGAAAGTGATTTTTTTTGGCCAATTAATAGTGATTTTAGCTGTAATAAATCCAATTAATCTAGGACAAGAAAAAAAATATGATAATCGCATGAGATACAAATAAAGGGTGGCGGGCCATTTTCTTAGTGGGTCCCTACCTTCTTCTCAAAATTAGGCGGAGAATCCGATGGTCCCTGAAACCCCACTCTCTTTCGCATCACCGTCGACTTTTTGAATCCGCAATTCCCAACAAAGATCCCCTTCCGCATCTCATTATCGTCACCATTTGCACCATACTAAAACACAAACAAACAAAATTATAAAAAAAAAAAAAAAACTTGTACAAAGACAGAGACTCGGCATAATCGATTCGCCAATGTTCTCCAAATTCTTCCAAAAACATGCCGCGTCGCCACATTGTCCAACATCTAAGGTTTAATCGGGGATTTCTTTCTTTTTTTGATCGTTCTTAAATGAAAATTACAAAAAAAAAAGTTACAATTTTAATTGCATACCTAAATTTAAAATATTTAATTAAACATAATTCAGCTAGAACTTCAATGAAATGCTGAAAATTTCCAGTTTTTATTTTGAATTATTCAGTGAAACTTTTTTTTTTTAATTTATATTTGGCAGAGTAATGTTTCGAAAGGAAGCTTGACGTCAGCTGATTTGAATCCGCGTCTGACCGTACACTATGGAATTCCGGCAACTGCCTCAATTCTGACTTGTGATCTGATTCAACGCCTCGTGGCAGTTGGAACATTGTTAGTAATTTTGTTTTAATTATCTCGAATTTTAAGCATTCATTGAAATCAAACATTGTTTGCTTAGCCAAAAAAGCAGCAATTTTGCAAAATTATTAATTTTGTTTGATTCTGTTTTGGTTAAATTTTTGTTTTCATAATGAATTGTATGATTTTTATAATTGGTTTAGGGATGGGAGGATTAAAGTGATTGGTGGCGAAAATGTAGAAGCTCTTCTAGTATCTCCTAAGCAGTTACCTTTCAAACACTTGGAGGTTTGCAAGTTCAAACGTTTAGACTGATATGTTGGATTGTTGGTATTCATGTTTGTTCTATTTGGTTAAATTTGTGGTGACTTTCAACAACTGTACGGTGAATTTTGTTTCTGTTTCAAATTCTTAAAGGATTCTAGCTTTAAGAATGCCTTCTTTTGTGCATTTCTTTCTGTTGGCTTTCCTGTCTTTGATACATTTTTTTTTCTTGACAGTTTCTACAAAATCAAGGTTTTCTTGTTAGCATGTCAAACGAAAATGAGATTCAGGTATTTGATTGTTTCTATGCGTTACAGCATGTTTCGTTGAAGAGGTGCTTGAATTAGTGGCACCATTTCTAGCTGCATGCCTTTGCTGTTTAGAAGGAGTGTATATATATACATACATATGTTATCTTCTCTATTGTTTCTCTACTTTATCAGTATGCTGACTTATATGATTGCCTTAATAATAGGTTATTGATGCTGGCAGGTGTGGGATTTGGAACAAAGGCAAATAGTTTCCATTATACGGTGGGAGTCCAATATAACTGCTTTCAAAGTCATTCATGATACCAGCTACATGTATATATCACTTTGTACCCTGTTACATTAACAATTTAACATCATCATTTAGCATTACTTTCCTGCAAATGTAAGTGACATAGTTGATTATTAACATTGTTACCTTTCATTATATTCAGGTATCTCGGAGATGAGCATGGAATGGTGTCTGTTGTAAAGTATGATGCTGAACGACGCAAGCTTGCCCAACTGCCCTATTATGTTCCCACTAATGTTATAGCTGGTAGTGCATTCATTATTTTACAAATTATGTAGTCTTTATGATTGAATGTTCAGGCTTCCCCCCCCCCCCCCCCCCCCCCTTCCTTGCCTCCTTGTTTTGCCCATGAACCCTGTTATGCCAAGATGAAAATATAGAATTTTTTAATCAGTATGATTCTGCACTTTAAGCTTTCTGGTCTTCTACTCTGAAATTAAGAATGTAGAATGCAAATTGACCTTTGGATGCCTGTATCTTTGGCTATCTAACTTGATATCAATGTCTGAGTATTTATTTAGCTCTATAATGTGGAATGTCTTCTTAATATTACATTTTCTCAACTATGCAGAAGTGGCTGGGATTTCATCACCTAATCATCCTTCTGTAGTCGGAGTTCTCCCCCAACCTTGTTCTCAGGGAAACAGGTAAGAATACTTACTGGAAGTTTCTATTGTTTATTCTGGTTTTGCAATACAAAACTGTAATTTTAGTGTAAAATGACATCTCTGTTGTAAAAATCTTCTTTTCATGCTGAATGAGCTGAAATAACAAATAGTTACATTGTTATGTCTTCTATAAATCTGTTATATTGAGCAACCTCTATGCTAATCTGTGTATATGTCAGTCAGTTACTAGTCTCTCCACACCATCTCTGTGCATGTATATGGGGTGTGGCAGAAGCAGGGTTGTGCCTGCATAGGAGCCTGACCTCTTAAAAGTTTAAGGTTGTACTCTTCTGTAAAAACAGGGCAAAAGTTAATGTTTAAAATGCATCATATACTTTCTGGTTCATTTTCCGTTGTCTGTTTGCATTAAAAATTGCATTCTTTTGTAGAGTACTAATTGCTTATGAGAATGGGTTGCTTGTCATCTGGGATGTTTCTGAAGATCGAGTTGTTCTAGTTAGAGGCAATAAGGATCTCCAATTGCAAGGCAGAACAGCATCTGGTTCCGCAAAAGAGAAAAAACTTGAGGTTTCTGATTGCACAGCAGACAATGATGAAGTGGAGAAACAGATAAGCTCTCTTTGTTGGGCATCCAATGATGGGTCAATTCTTGCAGTTGGTTATGTAGATGGGGATATCATGTTTTGGAATTTATCAACTGCTATCCCTAAAAAGAATCAGCAAGCTGAAAAATCACCCAATAATGTTGTTAAACTACAATTATCATTAGGGGAGAAAAGGCTTCCCGTCATTGTTTTGCATTGGTCCGCAAATCAATCCCACAGTGATCGTGGTTGCAAGCTCTTTGTATGTGGAGGTGATAAAATTGGACCAGATGAAGTTCTGACGGTGTGCTTCTAACTCAAGTTATTTTTTTGTAAATATTGATTTTACTTGTTTGTTCTTGCTTGTTATAATGATGGAAGATGTCTTGTTCCACTTTTTTTTGGCTTAGGTACATCATAATTCATATAAATCCTTAATAGACAATGAATAAAATTGGACTAAATCGGCTTAGGGAGGGTGTATTCTACAACCATAATATCTCAACTTCTAAATATGATGCAAATATGAGGTGTGATTGGCAAGGAAAAATCCTTTTATTGGTAATAAAAATTCCAATTTTGAGTCATGCTATCAAACTGATATTTCCATCAATACAATCTTCACCTAAAACTCCAGGATGAAATACATTATTTAGCCAGCTATCTTATTGTAATATTTATAAGTGAACTGTGGCACATATTCTTTTTCTCCCAGAGAACTTGGTTCTTTATCTCAAAGGTAGAGTTTCAGCCTTAGCATTCTTTTCTGTTATTTGTATAGGTCTTATTTACCACATTCACCCTCTTGTGCCTTTTACAAAAGTTTTTCGTGTTATTCCTTTTTCACCAAGAGCAGATGTGAATCAGGAGTCCTGCAAATCAAAACAACGAGAACTATCATTCTGTTGACTGCAAGTATTAAAACTTTAATCCTACAAATTTTTCATGAATAATTTCTGTCTTTTACAGATCTTGAGCCTTGAATGGTCTTCTGGAATAGAAAGTCTGAAATGTATCAACCGTGTAGACCTTATACTTAATGGCTCATTTGTGGATATGGTTTTGTTACCAACTATGGGGGAGATGGAGAGTGGTGGCAATTTGCTATTTGTGTTGTCAAACCCAGGGCAGTTGCATGTTTATGATGATGTATGCTTGGCCACCTTCATGTCTCAGAAAGAGAAAAAGCCTTGTGTTTCTTCAGGACAGTATGTTATGCCGATACCAACTGTTGCTCCATGCATGACTGTAAGTAAGCTTGGTTTAGTTGACAGAGATGGGGAATTTTCGAAGGCTCTTTCCAAGGTATTGTTTGTGACCATGTTTAAAGCATGTTATGTGGTTTTTGACCTTTAGTGACAGATTGTTTGTTGTTTTAACACTCATTTTCACTTACTAATTCAGGTTATCTTTGTTTAATTAGATAGTATCAACTGCAAAGCTTAAAGCACCACATACTCCAACTACACCGACTAGAAAGTGGGCTTTGACTGGTGGTATTCCTAGCCTTCTTTCTGAAGCTGCAGATTATCAAGTTGAAAGAGTATATGTGACAGGTTACCAGGATGGATCTGTTCGAATATGGGATGCTACCTATCCAGCTCCTTTGCTTATCTTTGTTTTAGGAACTGAGGTCAGTTCATCTTCAAATGTTTTATATGATTTTCATCTTTCAAATTAGAACTTCTGATTCATAACCCACTGTTTAGTTTAATTGGCAAAGTCATCCTAAGATAAATGGACAGGTGCCAGGTATTGACATTGCGGGTACAAATGCATCAGTATCAGCATTGGATATTTGCTCCTTCACTCACAGTGTAGCCATTGGCAATGAATGTGGTATGGTAAGAGTTGATTGTTTCTATGGGTGTCTTTTTTCTTCTAAGACAATCAAGATTTAATGTTATATTGATTATATCTCTTGCTTTTGGGGGAAATGTAGGTTCGTCTATACAAACTAACGGGAACTTATGATGGAATGAGTTTGAACATTGTGAAGGAAACTGAGAAAGAAGGTGCCTACTTGTAGATACTTATTACCTCATGCAGATGTCCTTGTACATCTCTTTTGACTATCAGACCAGTTTTCCAATACAGATTTCTTGAGATTTGGTTGCTATTTGCAAAAGTAATGAGCAAATGAGCTGTAGGATTCAAAATGAGGTCAAGGGTTTAATAGTTATCAGATAACTGACATTCAAAGTTTTGTGGTCTGGATTGATTTATGAACTCTTAAATAATTGTGATTAAAACTTTGATTGTCTAGAGTAGTCTTGTTGAGATTTTTTTTTTGTATTCCATGGAAACAATCCATACTGTTCATTCTTCAGAATTCAGGCTGGTTAATTTGGGAAAATTTCTTATTCTTCACAAAGATTTGGATTTAATTTGGTTTTATTTGTGAAGCTGTCTTTTAGAAATGTGTTGAGATTTAGTTACAACGATATGCTAGTGAAAGCTGGTCATTATCTTCTTTGATGTATTATTGAAGCTTTGACAATTATATGCTATAGTTTCAAATTTCCGCCAATTGGATTTTAATTAATTCTTATGTTCCTTGCAGTCCATAGCTTGCCCCAAGCAGATGGATCTCGATGCATTGCTGTTTTTTCACTCTTCAGTTCTCCTGTATGTGTGCTACAGTTTGCAAAATTTGGTACAAGACTTGCAGTGGGATTTAAGTGTGGCAGGGTGAGAATCATCTGTGCTGTCTTGATAATTAAAACCACATTCACTAGCTGATTGGAGGTATCAACTGAATGACTTTCAAGTTCATATTTTTCAATTCCTTATTTCAGGTTGCAATGCTTGATGTTAGTACATTTTCAGTGTTGTTCATTACAGACAGTCTATCACACTCAAATTGCCCTGTCAGTTCTTTTGCTATGAAATCATTTGCAGACACTGATACCTTAGTAAACAGTCCAAAAGATTCTACATACACTATTCTGAATGATGACAAAAAGTGGTTAGCATTCATAATGACCAAGGATGCATACCTAGCTGTCTTAGATGGCACAACTGGCCATGTGGTTAGCTCTCAGTCAATACCTCTGAAAACGGAGTCAAGTGCCATCTCTATGTACATTTTAGGCAAGTACTTTCCAGTGGGGAGAAAAAGAAGGTTTCCATTCATTTTTTTCCTGTTATTTTTCTGAAAATTCTCTATGTGCAGAGGGAGGCAATATAGTCTCTGCAGTGTCATCGGTGATCAGCGAAACTAAATATGAACCCACACATTCTAGTACCCACCATGGAAGTGCTTCAGTGGAAGCTAAATCTGATATTTCTGCTGAAGTGGCATATTTTGGGGAGAGATCAAATGGTTCACTTATATTACTTTGTTTTGAGGATGCACTGCATTTATGTCCTTTGAAGTCAGTGATTCAGGTGTCTTATATCATCCTTTTTCTTTTTAACAAAGTTCAGTATACCTGCATATTCTTTACCAACAGTGTAACTGCTTTATAATAGGGGAAAACTGACTCCATCTGGGCTGTTAATCTTTCAAAACAATGTTGTTGGACTTCAACCTTCAAGACAGATGACAAAGAGTGTGGGTTGGTTCTGCTTTATAGGACTGGGATCCTTGAAATAAGGTCACTTTAATGCTGCAGATTCTCATATTGTGTTATCTGATCATGTCAAGTGCTTGTGTTAATCTTATATCCAAAATGGTATATTTATCTAAAGTAGTGTAGCATAATTGTATTATTTGTTAAGTGGAAGTTGGTTTCTGTGGACAGGTCTTTGACAACTCTTGAATTGGTGGGAGAAAGTTCTTTGGTGACTTTTCTTAGATGGAACTTCAAAACGAACATGGAAAAGATGATATGTTCTTCAAATAGAGGGCAAATTATAATGGTTAGTTTTTCCCTTTGTTCAACCTTTTGATAATTTTCTTGATTTTTGAGTTGTGGTGTGTCACTCAAGTAAAACATCTACAGCCTCTTCATTGCATCAAAATGGTCCTAGTAAAATATACAAGTAACATATGCTCATAATCATCAAATTTAGACTCTCTTTATACAGCGCCACTAATTGCATCAAAATGGTCCATGATCTTTCAGAAATATACTCTTCATTGTTTAATGCAACTAGAAATGTCCCAACTCCTGAAACTAGCTAAACATTTCCTTTTACTTGTAGGGACTTCTTTTTTGGTATTATTTATATACAGTGCAAAAATAAAATGCTCCATACCAACTTATAGAAAATCTGCCTTGAGGCTTCTCTCATAAGGGTATACCAAGGATCTGAAAGTAATTTTTACATACATTGGTCGTCTCTAACTTGCTCATTTTGTTTTGTTGGGGATGGGGGCAACCGGCGAGGTTTTTATGACCACTGTCTAGCCCATTGTTGGCTTTGCAAGTGCCAAGATTTAAAAGGAATTTTTTACATCTTAAGGCTGGTTTATTAGAATAAAAAGTAATGTTTATAAACATGAAGAATTATTCTTGGTTGAATGTGCATATTTTATGGCATATTCCTCTCTCATTTCTTGTTTTTTTCTTTTTTCCTAAAATTTTGGGGTTCTTGCATCGATTCTTGTTAATTAGTAGCCTGTTGGCTTATATTAATTGATGCCAAGTTACCAACCATTTCTTAAACAGGAAGAGTTCTAAATCATTCTAACAAATACTTGTCAAAGATTCATTAGAAGTACTCAGGTGTAGGTTGTAGGCTGGAGAACATTTTGCAACAACAGATTGGGATTTGATTTGGCAATGATAAATGAAGTTTGATAATTTTATAGCCAGAATGATGGTGTGCATAGAAAGTAGCACATATTTATGTTCATGTAAACTAATACCTGAGACTATAGATATATTTTAATGTTTACCAGTCATTATATGTAATAAATTTCACATGCTGTTTTTATTTCAATGTTTTCTAATCCAGACAAGTACCGAAAATTTCCAGGGCACATCATGGTATAAGTGTATATGACTTAGATGCTCTTTCTCCTTTAACCTTCATATGATAATCTTCTTTTACGATACTTGCATTTGATTTTGAAATCTCAGTAATAGCCAATGCTTCTTACTCCTTTTGTGCCTGTCATGAGAATAAATCTTATTGATGTAGTTTTATACTACAGTATCTGATGCAAGTTTAATATATTTTGAATTTATAGATACATGGGTGTGAATTTGCTGCTATATCTCTTCTGGCCCTTGAGAATGACTTCAGGTCTCTCTCTCTCTCTCTCTCTCTCTCTCTCTCTCTCTCTATCTATCTATCTATTTATCTATCTATGTTTGTGTGTTCATGTATGCATATGGTATTTATTCCATCAATGGTCTTTAACTCTAAAGTCGACCACTTGTTACTGTCTAATGCTTTGCTTGGTTGGAAGGATGAAAAGAGGTGAGGATGGAAAATTTGTTAATCTAATGGTTAAGCTACAAAGTAAGAAAGTTGTTATAAATTTGAACCATTAGATTAACAGGTTTTCCTTTCTCACCTCTTTCCAGTCTTCCTACCAAGCAAAGCCTAAATGTCTTCATGTTGTAGGATTCCGGATTCTTTGCCTTGCATTCATGATACAGTCCTTGCAGCTGCTTTTGATGCAACTGTTAGTTTATCTCCAAGTCAGAATAAAAGTCAGGTTGTCTACATTATTCTTTGCTTTCTTTTTCATTAGTTTTTTCCCTTTCCCCACCAGCCTAAATTCTGTGGCCACAGGATACTGCCCCTGGGATTTTAGGTGGTATTTTTAAGGGCTTAAAAGTAGGTAAGCTGGATCAAAATGTGCATATTCTGGAAGCTTGCAAGAGCGATTTCTCGCATTTGGAAAGCATATTTTCTACTCCCCCATTCTTAAAGCCTTCCATGGCCTGCACAGATGGGCAAGAAGTTATCAATCTTAACATAGGTTTTCCTACCCTTTACCTCTAACATCTGTTTCCTTGCTACTTTCTTTTTCCTCACTAGACCACCTTTTCTTATGCAGATGATATCCAAATTGACGAATCTGTAACCATCTCATCTCTATCATCTGAGAAAATCAAGAATGATGGGAAAGGTCTGTCAGTGGTTTCTTAATACTCTTCTACATTTGTTCTTATCTCAGACTTCTAAACACTCTTATTGCCATCTTTCAGAGAAAGGAACAGAGAGAGAAAGATTGTTTGAGGGTGCCTGTCCTGATGCAAAACCAAGGCTCAGAACACCTGAGGAAATCAGGGCTAAGTATAAAGGGGCTGAGGTAAATTTTCTGGAATAATTGGGTAAATGCATAGGATCAACCAATTGTATTTCTAACACAAAAAATGGTTCTAGAATGCTGCGGCCGCAGCTGCACGCGCAAGGGACAGGCTTGTACAGCGGCAGGAAAAACTTGAGGTAGCATTACTTCATGTTGAACCCTTGCATACAATTTTTTTTTATTATTATCTTGGATGTACTCTTCCTAGCAAGAGATATTCTCTCCTGGGGACTGAATTTTCTCTCAGTAAGCTGCTTATTCGAATCTTTCTTATATTTGGTCTGTCTACACCAGAGGATCAACGAACGTACTCAAGAGCTACAAAGTGGGGCTGAGAACTTTGCTTCGATGGCAAAAGAACTTGCCAACAGAATGGAAAAGAGAAAGTGGTGGAACATATGAACTTGGACGGTTAGCAACCAACATTGAGCATTCTGCTAAGGTAGTTGTGATTATCATAATCAAGTTCGTATGGTTTGAAATTATAGTTATTAAAGGATATAAAATACCAAAATCCTCAATGTAGAAACATTCGCATTTTACTGACACGAGAATATTACTTGTTATGTCCACATTTATGCTTCATTTGGGGGAGCGGTGGAAAGCGAAAGGATTCCCACCGGCCATCCAAATGAAGCATTGACCAATAAGAGATGCATAATTTTTACTCAGAAGGTTGAGTTCGAATCCTTTCTTTGAAGCAAGAGAATTGCTTTTTGACCCTGCTTCTTGAAGATGACAAAGTGCTTGTCATAATCGTTTCCACGTTTTTTTTCTTCTCTAATCACCAATTTATTCTAATTGGGAAGAACAATGACATCATTTCCACGTTTTCCTTCTTCAATTATATTACGCAATTGGGAACAATAATTTCTTGAAAGGACAACCTGCTTAAATTTGCATGGCTACATTTGGAGGATGCCACAATTTACTTACGATTTACCAAACAAAAAAAATTGAAGCAATGAACGAAAAAGGTGAATTTTTTGGACGGTGGTGAATTCGTGAAATCATGTTTTTGCTTTGTTGGAAATATTTTGACACATAAATTTACCATTAAGCTTGAAAAATAAAAAATGAAAAATCTTCCCTGATACAGAGCTTTCTTCTCTTGTTACAAGCGTTTAAAATTCGATTTTAATTAAATTAATTAATCAAATCAATTTAACTCGATTAATTGATTAATCATCAAATTAATTTTGATTGATTATTAAAAATAATATTAAAGAAAATTTTGTTTTTTGATTAATTAGATTTAAAAATAAAAAATAAAAAAAATTAAAATTTTAATCGAAATATAATAAAATATATATATATAACTAAAAATATACGAAATTATTTTAAAGTTATTAAAGTTTTTAACATAATATTTTAGTATTTGAATATTTTTGTTGGATGATTTTATTTAATTTATTTTAAATATAAAAAGTTAAGAATTTAAAATATAATATATTTTGTTTTATTTTATTATTCAATTAATCAAAAAATTAATCTAATTGATTGAATTAATTTCGGTCTGTCAATGTTTATAATTAAGAAATTCAGTTCAATTAACATAAAATATAATAACATAATTTGGTTATTTTAGTTTTTGATAATTAAGTTTGAAATTAACCGAATATACCGAATGAATACTCTTATGCATAGTCTATTAAATGGAGGTTTACTCCCTTTTGCTGTTAAAGAACTATTTTTTTATATAAAATTATGTATCAATAAAAATTATAATTATAATCAAATAATTTTTAATATATTTCTAGAAGAATATAACATAATAACACAATATTAAAAACAATGTAAAAAAAAATAGAGCTATAAGTGAACTAAATTGAGCAAGTGATACACAAAAACAATACGAAAAATTAGGGTTACAAATGAAGTAAACCGAGCTAATGCGAAAAAATTAAAGCTATAAATAAATCAAGAGTTGAGTTTTTTCTTATTCAAATATATTCAACTTCAAATCAATTAAAAATTAACAAACTTATAAATAAATAAATTTTTAATAAATTTAAAAATTTAAATTCGATTCAATTATTTCTATGAAATTTTAACCAAACTCTTTAGTCAAACACAAATAAGCTCTTAATTTAAATCTCAATAAATAGATTTAATGCTTACTGAAGCCAAAACCAATTCGTGGATTGGCTTGTTGGCTTCTAAATTTTGACCATTGATTTATGCATAAAAGATTGATAAAGGGTGTACTTATTTATAGACTTTATCCATCCATTGTCTCGACTATTTTATTGACATGGGATTGATAAAAATAGATTTATGTTCTTTTAAATTTGTACATTCAAAGTTATTATTCATTTTTTAAATATATAAAAAAAATTATTTTATAATAATATTTTTAAAAAATTAATTATTTTTAATTTATGTCATATCACTGTCAGAATTATAATTTATAACGATAAAATTTTTCTGTAGTAACCATCAATATCGATAGAATATATCAATAAATTTAATTTTATCGATAATTCACAAGTGATTTGACACCAATTGCTATAAATTTTATTACCGAAATTTTCGATCAATAATTCTGTGAATAAAATTTTTTTATGAAATTACTGAGAAAAATTTCATCGGTAAAAAAATTTGCAAAGAAAAATTTCACGTTACCGATGGAATTTCCATTGGTAGATTCGTCGACAAAAAAAATTTTGAACTCCCATCACAACAGAAGTATGTAATTTTAATGACTTTATTTTTTGAGGGTTTGAGGAACCGCCGCAGCTTTCCTTTAATATTTTGTATTTTCCTAACAAAAATGAAAATGCCGTTAGGCAGTAATGATTTAAAGACACTAATAGCCTCTAATAATAAAAACTCTCCTTACAAAAAAAATAAAAAAACCCTCACGCGATTTTGTTTTTTTTTTTTTTTTTCTCAGTTTTACTCTCTCTCCTTTTGTTTTTTTATCTCTTCTTTACCGATTGAAAAATTAGAATATTTAAAAATCAAAATCTCTCTCAAATCACTCTTCTCCAATACGATTTCAAGTTATTATCCATAAATTTTTAAAATCAAACCCTAACTTTTGAATCTCTAGTTTCAGCTCGATCCTCATTATCTTCTTCATCATCGTTTGGTAACTAACTGTAATGAAATCCCTAATCTGCTACAGACTACAAATCTCTCTTCGATTCCCTTTGCTTTTCTTGGATTTTCATCTATTGTTTCTCAAATCTAATGAATCTTTCCTTAATTTTTAAAATCCTTGATTTTTTTGCTCAATTTTTGTGCAGAAGTAGTTCCTCTTTAGTTCATTAGTTGTTCATCTGTTAGTGCAGAAGCAGACAATGTATCTTTCCAGCTTTTTTTATTTTTATTTTTTAAGTTTGTGAAAGTTGTTTAAAACTGTGATATTATATTAGGTCTCATCTGTTTAGTTATATTAGGTGCATGTTTTGTTTTATCCCAATTTGTGAACATTTCTGCGTTTGATTGTTGATTCGTATCTGTTAGTTTTTCTTTCTCTATAAAAACATAAACAAAAGGTACAACAGTGACGAGTGTGTTCAAGATTTTATTCCTAAAATTATCAATAAATTTGTCAATATAGCAATGATCATATGAATTTTCCAAGTTTCCAATTAAACAAAAAGTATATTTTAACAACATTTTTTTTTGCTTTAATTGTAACATAAAAATCAAGTAGTGGACCAATGCTAGAGAGCAGAGTTTGAATTGAATGTTTGATAGCAAACCAACTATATATATGTATATATGTATATATATTATATATCAAATATATATATGTATATATTTGATATATACATATATACATATATATACATATATACATATATATATATGTATATATATATACATATATATATATTTTGGTAATCAAGCAATTGCCCATTTTCAAAACTATAAAGTGAGGAACAAGCGTGATCATTATCCATTACAATACACTACTACTAAGGTAGAATACTACACTTGGGATAAATTAAGCAAAAGGGCATCATTACAAAAATCTGGCTTTATATTTATGCCTCTTGTTGTGATTAGGAAAATAGCAATATCTGTCTACCTAATATTCATGGATAAAATCTATCCTAAGTTCATTGAATAGCATCAAATTGCTTTTTTGGGAGCATTTTGTCTTAATTGCTTTTTTGAGGTTAAGAGTGGCTTATTTACCATCAGTTTGGATGTTACATGTATCCAACATTTTCTTATTGTCTCTGCATTGACCTTAATTTGTTAAAACAATCTGTTGTCTTATATTCTTGGTGGTAACACATTTTAGATTGCTGAGACAGACTTGTTTTCTTTCATTTTTTGGATAATTCTGCAATTTTATTTATCCAATGCTAGCAGTGATTTGCTACAAAACAACAGTTTCCAACTTAACAAGGTATCAAAGAATAAAATTCTACTAGCAGCCTATTCAAAGACAGACTCATTTTCTTTCAAGATTAAAGGTTTTCTTTACTATTGCTGTACAACTTGGTTGTCAATCATATTATGAAATGATTAACTTTCTTCATATTTTTTCATGAAGAAATATATTTAACTCTGCATAATCTCCCTTAAATATTCACCAAACTGTTGCTACTTTAAGCAAGCTTTTGGTATAGCCTTGACCATGTTTTAGTCAGTCATGGATGTTGACTCTAGGGTTGATGCGCAAATCTGTAGCGTGTTGAATTTATATTTATTGTCTGACGTTTGAAAGAGTAAAAGAGCTATACGATGGCCTTCCTCTTTTTTTTTTATTTTGTGCTTTTATAGATAGATTGTTAACATTTTATTAATCACTTGCCAGGGGTCATATCAAGTGGCAAAATGGAATGGCACAAAGGTTGTTGTAAAGATACTAGATAAAGACAGCTATCCAGACCTTAAGATAATGTATGTGTCACGGGTCGAGATTTAAGTTTCGAATTCGCGCGATTTCGGAATTCGGACATTCATCCTTTTAACGTCTCAGATCAACCTACCTGTCACGGTTCACACCCTTGTAAGGTATTGTTCGCTCTGGCCCTCTGGCATCACCCGGGCATTCACCCTTCCGACGTCTCAAATCAACTTACTTACCATGGTTCACACCTTTGTAAGGTATTGTTCGCTCTGACCCCCTGGCCTCACGGTTTTATCCTACAAAAGGTATCTCACAAGATTGAGATGGTGTGAACCCTTTTATACCTCAGTGACCCACGGAGGCTAGCCACCTTGCCTACCTTCTTCGAGGTGTTTGGCATGGATCGAACGGTTTAGGGCTGACTCTGATACCACTTGTCAAGGGTCAAGACTTAAGCTTCGAATTCGCACGACTCCGGGACCCGGGTATTCACCCTTCCGACGTCTCAGATCAGCCTACCTATCACGGTTCACACTCTTGTAAGGTATTATCCGTTCTGGCCTAATGACCTCACGGTTTTATCCTACAAAATGTGACTCACAAGGTTGAGATGGTGTGAACCCTTTTATACTTCAGTGACCCTCCTATTATATTCGATATGAGATTCAAGATTCCCTCATAAGTCCGTGACATATGCACTTATCTTGTTCTTATGTGTACTTCTTTTCTAATATTTTGGTTGATATTGCCCAAATGCCTTGTGACTGCACTTAACTAGAGCAATTGCATGCTTTCCAACGTGCATTTTTAGTATTATATATAGACAAAATAATTGATTATATACGCTCAAAATAACAGTAAGTATGGAATTATATATTAGTACGTCATAAGAGTTGAGAGAAAAACACCAAAAGCAAAAGTTGGGCTGTACCAAAAAAGAAAGTCCAAAGTGTACTGTCACATTATTAGTATTATATTTTTCACATACATATTTTTTCAAAAAGCAGATCCATGCCCACGATTTCTAGGAAA